GTATTTGTAAGGATTACACTGGCGAGGTGAGCACATGGGACATCCACTCCTCTTGCGAAAGACAAGAACAGGGGCAAAGAGAGGGAAGAATACTAAAGGAAGGCGTGGGACAGACATCAGCTATTGAAGCAGCATGCTCTTTGCTTGGGGATGAATGACTGATATGTCCTTAACTCCCCAGTGTAGCAATCTTAGCCCCTCTCAGTGATGTCTCTGACTGCACTTAGATGCACTCAAAGGAAGAAGCATCTGTAGGCATGCTAACTATTGCAGATTTGCCTACAGAACAGGTATTGCAACAGGGCAATAAAAAATACAAACACTGTCCACTTCAATTCACTTCCACTGGATGCTTTTTAGCACCACCTTTTAATCTGGTGTAAACACCTATGTGCTGTTTCCCAGAAACAGCTATTTTGGAGACGCAGAAATTGTGTCTTGCATCTAAGCAAGCAATTGCTGTTCAGCACAGACTTTACTCATTCATCTCTAGGGTTGAATGAGTGTATCTATATTTGTTTACATATTTTTAAGTAACCCAGCACATATCTTAAAGATAAATCCTGCCCTAGCAGAAGAAATCCTGTTGTCAGGGAGAAATGACAACTCATGTTTGCTACTGGCACTCACACTCACACGTGAGTGAGTGTGTAAAGATGAGACACATGAAAGAGCATCTCCTATTAGTCACTGCTCCACAGAAAAGAAGTACATTTCATGCCAGTATGGGAGTTGCTCCTTTAACTCCAGTGTCTTAGTCATGTCTAAAGTCTAAAAGTCATGTACTTTTAGACTTCTGGGCCTTGGGTTTAATCTGCACTGCAGAAGGGATTAGTGCATTCATGATTGGTTAACAGATACAATTTCATATCCCCAGACAAACGAGGACGGCTGCTTTGCCACTGAGGTGAATATTAAGATCTACCACCAGAAGCGTGGTGACAATTATGATTTCAACCTGGAAGCTGTGGCTTTTCTGAAAGAAAGTGGAACAGGTAGCAAAAATTGATTCTACACTTTGTGGAAAATCTTTTACTTTACACTCATACAACATGCTTGTCTTTGGGTTTTCATCTGTAAGACTCCTTATGGATCCTTGTGTCTTCCCATCAAATTGCTGGAGCTTTCTGCATTGGCTTCCATGGGGTCAAGTGTTCAGAGGGTTATGTCTTCCCTGGGAGCACCATGGCAGCATGGATGTTCTCGTGTACCGTACCACCCAGGTCTGACTCACAAAGGACATGTGAGTTCTCCCAGTTCCAGGATGGGCTTTACCAGTATACTTGCTCCTCTACAAGCTGTTGTGGCCAGTCCAGCTCTGACAGTCACCTTGGTTTGGCAAAGATGGGCAAGAGCTGCTTTTTCTCGTCTTCTAGTCATAGTAGAAATGTGCACAGAGGTGGGCCAGGCCATGTTCTTTTATTCTTAAACCATACTTTAGGAAAGTCCATTGGAATGAGGAGATACTCAGAGCAACCGGTGTAACCAAGGCCCTGACTGTGTACTGCTAATAGCTCCTCATCAGATTTATCTCCACATCCCAGAAAGGGAGATGAGGCTACTTGTACAGAGTTACTGTTAAATATCTCATCCTGTAAGGTTTCCTCTCTTACAAAATTTTACAAACCCTCCCTCACAAGAAAATGTTTTGCAGCCTTTGCTGAAAGCACATTCATTTAGCAAACAACTGCAGTGATTTCAGGTGGGCACCACATGACAAGACAGCAGACTGTAAATTAACGTGGTGAAGGCAAGAAAAAATGTTGCCTTCTAGTGACTCTGCTGTGAGAATGGGAGGAGAATGGAAGTGGATAATTATGAGTAAGACCATCTTAAACAAAGTCAAAAAGAGCATTTGAGAACCGTCTGGCAGAAACCTCCTGGTAGATTGCTGTCATTCTAGCAGGTCAGAATGTAGGAGGCACTATTGTCGAGTGTGTATGTTAAATGACTCCTGAAGATACATGGAGAAACTACAATCTCCTATGAATGATGATAGTCCATCCCTTACCTCAGTCCGTCCAATCTTGTTGCCTTTGCTCAGATGCATGATACTCACCTGCATGCACCTCCTGTCTTTCCTAGGGGTGGAGTTCAACACCACTGAAAACTGCAAGGTCACTTTTGATATCACAACTCTCCAATTCTGGGGGACAAGCTACTACTATCAGCAAGGAGCTCCCTACTATGGAAATGTAAGTGAACAGGGCAGAAACATGGAGACCCCAGCAGCTGGGCCTAAGGGGATGGCGGACACAGAAGTGCTGAGGGGTCCCTTTGCTCTGAGCTGCCTAAAGGTGCCAGCACAGTCCTCTGTCCCAGTCTCTCCTTTGACATCTCTACCAAGAGGTAATCCAAAGGTGTGACCACAGGATAGGCACATGGCTTTGCCAGGTGAGATGGCTGCTGCATAAATGGGGAGGAGTTGGAGGAGTTAGAGTTCACACTGAGAGTCCGTTTGCAGAGAGGGGAACTGGGACTTCTACTGGGAGGTAGATTTTCAATCCTGAGGCCTCCAATTCTCTGACTGTTCTCTGCATTGTTACAGCTGGAACTCAAAAGTGCCAATGGGACACACCTGAAAAACAAGGAGGTGATTCTTACAGTGTCCTACGGTAGTAGGAAGCAGACCAAGACCTACTTCACGGATGACACTGGGATGGCCTCTTTCACCTTAGAGACGTCAGCATGGGACAACAGCAGTAAAGTTCTACTACAGGTTACGCCAAATAATTACATTGGATTTTGCTAGCACTAAGCAATGCATCCCTCAGACCTATAGTCTGTGTCATTGACTCAGTACAGCCAGGGAGATGGAGACATGGAGCAGTGAAATGTCAGATCTAGGGCAAGAGGAATAGCCCATAGCAGAGCCAACATTCTGGTCCCTGGTGCCACACACAGTCCCCGAGCAGTCAGGAGACATGATGAGAGATGCGACAGTGGACAGAGGCCCCATGAAGTTGTGACTGAGGTCTACCTACGTAGCACCTCTGTCTGAGGTGGAAAGGGCCTTGTGGGGCTGGGCAGGGACAGAGAGCAAAGGAAAAACTCCCACGTGGTATGGAACAGGAAGATAGAAAAGAAGCTAGGGAAGAAGCATCTGAAAATACATGTGGAGAAGAAAACGTCAGTGACCAGTTTGCATTGTATTTCCTCATAGCACAAGAGTTAGGAGAAACCTGGGATATAAGAAGCAGAAAACTTAGGAGAGAAAGAAGGAAGGCTAGTAAGGAACCAGTTGCTGCAAGCCAATCTGGAGCAGAGCAGGTAACCAGGATGTAAGGAGATAAATAGGGATGCCACTGAGAGGGAATTGGCAGAAAAAAGTTTGCATCTGCTTTCCCATGAACAAGGAAGGCTCTCTTGTCTGGTTGTAGGGGTAGGTTTCTAATACCTGTCCTATCTAAACTTCAAGGTCAAGGCACTTTGAGGCAAGCCCTGTCTCTTTATCACAGTGCATACAGTTTCTTAGATGATGGATCCTGACCTTGCTGGAAGTCCACAAGATGTTAATATCATAGTCTCAGTGCAGATAGGTCATAGGCCAAAGATGAGCAAGGCTATTGATCTTCAGTTGTTCCCTGCCACCTCTACCCTATGGATCAGGGAAAGTGCTAAAAGAAATACAGTGTGCGAGTGGAATAACACTCAACAGTGAAATACATTATCAGGACAGATGCATGCTGACACTTTCCCCGCACATGCCAGACAGAAGCAAAGGGTTTGGTGGTTTGATCCGGGGACTAATAAGCCACTCTACACAGTCTAACGATCTGGCTTGCTCCTGGGATAGCAGCAGCATTGCAGAAGTTCAGGCTCTAGCCTAAGCCCTAGTAGTATACAGCTCCCTGCCTCCTGTTTAGGCGCTAGTTATCCCAGAGCGTGGTGGAGCAGGCAATGCCAAGAAAGGGGCTCACTAAGCTTGGCTTAGGTGGAAATAGACACCTCACTCTGGGAGAGTTCAGAGCCCACGGTCCAGTCAGTCTTGGTTTTGGCGTGGGGAGAGCTGCAAGAAATCTTCAGACACCGAGCCACCTTTTCTGTGCCACAGGCAAAGACCCAGCCGGAGGACTTAAGCGGTCGAAATGTGAGGGTGTCTTACGGCACTGCATCCCTTACACTGAGGGCCTTCTACTCTTCCAGCCGCAGCTCTGTGAGGATCCAGCCAGTGCAGGCAATGCTGCCCTGCAGGGACGTGCAGCAGGTCACTGTGCACTATCACATCCTAGCCACAGAGCTGGGGGACGGGGCTGCCAGAGCAGACTTCTACCACCTGGTGAGTGCAGGGCAGCGCCGGCAACGAGGTCAGCTTTGCGACGGGTCTGTGTCAGCACAGGGCCCTTTGCTGGCCCAGAAACATGGAGCAGAGGCACTATCAACCCTTTGCTCTGTTCATTTCCCTTTAGGTTTTGGCCAGAGGATCTCTTGTGCATCATGGCCAAACAACAGTACTTCTTGATCCGCCATTAGGTAAGAGCATCTAAATACCAGCAACAGATTAAGGACTCAACAGGAAAGCCCTTCCAACCTAAATGGGGAAGGAGAGAAAAGAGATCTGAGACCAACAGGTAACAACAGAGCTGGCACAAGAAATCAAGAGGAAATGGCAAATATGCTATCTCTCTTCTGTCCTTTAATTTCCCTAATTTTATTTCTGATCAAATGATGAAATTGTCAGAGTTTATCTGCCAAGCAGGAATTATCAGAGACCTCCAAGAAAACTCACAGAATCTTTTTGCTGGACTCAGGTGGAAAGTCATTTCTCTTCCAAGTGCACACTGTTGCCAAGATCCCTCATGATGTAATGTCACTGCTACAAAATGGCACTAACCTACATCCTGGTCTAGCTGTGGCCTCTCCAGAAGCAAGGCAGAATAGTTTTTATCCAAGTAACTGTACAGAAGTATTATAGAGGATGAGCATGTTGCTGCTGTAATCCTTGGAGACAGACTTCCTTGCCTCTTCCTATACTTTTTCTATTTCTCCTTCTTCCTTCAGGTCAGTATAGTGGGGCTTTCAATGTCACTCTGCCCATTGACCTCATTTCACCCATGGCTACCCTCTTTGTTTACACTGCCTTCCCTGAGGGACAAGTGGCAGCTGACACCTTCAGTCTGAAAGTCTCCAAGTGCTTCAGGAACCATGTAAGTAGTGCACAAAACATAAGGGGGAAGGTAGGCTGGAGAGTAGGTATTAACTGCAAATTGGTAATAGATGTCCAGCAGAATCCAGTAGACACAGACTCCCCTTTCCTTCCTCTGTCAGTGTCTTCAGTCCCTCTTTCTTCTGCTGTTTCAGGTGAAGCTTGACTTCTCAGACACAGTGGCTCTCCCAGGATCGGCTGTCCGTCTTCATTTGCAGGCTGCACCAGGCTCCCTATGTAGCATCCGTGCTGTAGACCAGAGTGTCCTTCTCCTGAGGCCAGAGGCTGAGCTATCCAGGGATAGTGTGAGTCACTTTAGTGCTGAGCCTTGCTAATATTGAAGAGGTGCCTTTTGAGTATCTGGTTGCAAGCACAGGTTAATGAGGCACAGTGGATATACCAACAAGTAGTTGAATGGGAACAGGACATGGCTTAATGAGAAAAAATGAAGGCCAACATCAAACACCAGTCAAAATTTCCAGTCTCTACGGAGGGATGTAATAGAATAACTGACTGTCATCCCCAGCTATAGCCCAAAGTCACATCCTTGTTAAACTTAGAGTGCTTTGCCACAGTGGCAACCAGATGAAAAGAGAATTCCATCTCCTGAACCAATTCATGACAGTGCTCTGAAAAAGAGAGTTATGTTAAAAAAAATGCCCACTGTGTGGTAGGCTCCATGTCTTTGTTCCAGCTCACATGAACCAGACAGTCCTTCCATTCACAGACTGGACTGTAAGTGGTGCCTTGGCAGTGGAAGGGTCCCATTTCTCCTCTAGACCTGGGATGCATTGGGTCTAAGGACCCTTGAGTTGCCTCTTGACACTGTTTTGGTCAATTCAGGATGTGCCTTCACTCAGACAAGCTATCTAATGACTCTTACAGGGAAGGTGTCCTCACTGTATGCACTGAGCTCACAGGTACAATCTATGAGCTAGAATTGGCCACAGCTATGCAGCTCTACCCCAGAGGGGTTCATGTTCATCTCTGGTGAGCATTTATGCATCTACAACTTGTAGAGGCTCTCCATGAAGCTCAAAAAATTTTGGAGCTGGGCTTTTGTAGCAGGCAGGATCCGAGCTCTGCCTCTGCAGTCACAAAAAATCTCTGGATAGAAATGAAAAACTTCCCACCTCTCACACTGACCTGTACTGTTTTCATTCTCTGTCTACAGGTGTACAATATGTTCACCTATTCTCAGGAGCATCCCAGCACCCTCACAGACTCTTACAGTGATTACTGTACTATCCACACGAGCCCAGGAATCATCGGTTCCCCTCAGACCACCCTTCCACCAGGAACAATGTCACCATTCATGTACAACAGATACTCGTATGCAGTGTCCCAACCGGATGTTTATGAACTTCTGAAGGTAAATCTAATTCCCAGAAAACCTGAAATATCAGAGCTGAGCCCTTTTGTATCCCAGGTCAGCGCTGTGTAGCTTCACAGATAGTCTTTCCTGTAAACGTTGGCAACTTCAGGTTCTGAAGCTTGAACTTTTCAAGCTTCTGAACTAAGAGATCTCTGACACTCCATGCTCCCAGCTTGATAAATTCCTATTGACCAGGCAGATCCCTAGAAGCCAGCTCTCTGTTTATCCCAAGCTCAAGACCCTCAGACTTTCTAGGGGTTGGAAGGAGAAGGGAGTGTCAGCCTGAGTCAGAGAAAATTGGAGGTTGGAAAAGCAAAGCACCTGAGAGAAAAGGCAGACTGGGGAGAGGAGGGAAAGAATAGTAGAAAGGAACAGCAGGTGAAAGAGAACAAGTCTGTATTAGGGTGGGTAGCAAACTCTGGTGCCAAAAAAATGAGTTTGTGTGCGGGCATGCACATGCGAGTGGTCACCCCCACAATCCTGACTAGAGAGAGCCTCCTTTGGCTGAGGGACCAGGACCGGGCTTTGGGAGCAGGGTGGTTCCGCATTCTCTCCCTGTTTAAAGTCACAGGTCAGGCTGACGTGCAACAACACAGGGTGGGTGATATGCGGGGCAGAGGCAGACCCTCAGACACACCACCCCCTCCACTGAAATCTACCTTCTTTTCCTCCCCTTCTTTCCTCCAGAATTCAGGTCTAACTTTTTTAACCAGCCTCAAAATCAAGTCTCCAATTGAGTGCCGCACCCAGACCACTTTCTACTACGACTACATGTGTACATCTCGATTTATCCTGTTTCTTTGGAAATCACGGGTAACATACAGGCTGCACAAGGGCAGCTGAACATGCAGTGTGCTGAGGAATTGGGGATGGCTTCCAGAGATGAGTGGGAGGTTGCACAGGAGATGTGCACCACAGGAAGAGGGGAAGGGTCCTGATGTGTGTGTGTGTCCAGTGCACTGGAGGGGCAGAGGGGTGGCTGTATAGGAAGAACTTGCTTGGAAGCTTCTGCTGGTAGGCAGGAAGATAGTATGGTCAAGGGGGGAAATGAGGCAGCTGTCCAGGAAAGAACATCTGTTTGTAAGACTAGGAAAGGTCTTGCTGGAAACCAGGGAATGAGCCAGGATTGGCACTGGGCAGTATCTAGGCCTTTCTGCAGGCACTGAGAGCAAAAGTGTGAGCAGGTAGAGTTCCTCATGGGGGAGCACACACATACTGGAATCCACATGGTCTCCTGGGTTGTCTCATGGAAGACAATAGTGAAGTAGGTTGAAGGCATCTTGGACAGGACAAGGGGGATCGGAGTGGGAGTGGGAGGGATGGAGAGTTGAGCTTTTCCCAGCTGAACTCTATCCTGATTTCACAGTTGCTCTGCCTTTGAATGAATGCTTGTATTCCCAATAGCTTATGGCGAGCTGGCAGACTTGGACAACTTGGACCCAGAAACAGATGCTGCTGTTGAACGTGCTGAGTCAGAGCACGTTGAGCTGGGTAGCGAGGCAGGGCCAGTACGTACCTGGTTTCCAGAGACATTCATCTGGACTCTGGTTCCCATCAAGTGAGTAATTATGGGCTGTGGCCCCACATGGATCCAGACCTCCTACCAGCCACAGCGGAGAGGGAATGGGCAGGAACAGAGCCAGGGCATTATTGCCTTCTGTGCCCACAAAGAAAAGGGAGGTGTGAAGAAGTGGATAAGGACAATGGAGGTTTGGTTCAGTTCCTGGCTCTGCTTGAGATTTTCCAAATGATCCTGGGGAACTTAAAATCACAGACTGCTACAGGATGGAAGAGACCTCCAAAGGTCTGTAGCTCAACATCCTGTGCAAGGCGGGTCCAGTTAGATCAGGTTGTAGTCAAGTTCTCTGTATCTCCAAGGATGGAGATTCCACAAACTATCTGGGCACCTGTTCCAGTGTTTGACCATCCTCATGGTATTTTTTTTTTCTTATCTCAAGTCAGAATTTCCCATGATCCAACTTGTGTCTGTTACCTTTCATCCTATCAATATGCACCTCAGAAGCGACTGGTTCCATTGTCTCTACACCTTCCCAATAGGTAGCTTTAGAAAGGTGAAAGATCTCCCCCTAGTCTTTCCCTCTTAAACTTAAAAACTCCGGTTCTTTCAGCCATTCCTTGTACATCAAATGTCCCAGCCCTCTGACCGTCTTGGTAGTCCTCCACTGGATGCATTCAAGTATGTCAGTATCTTTCTTATACTGGAAGGCAAAAATGGGACACAGTACTCCAGATGTGGTCCCACAATGGAGGAATACAGGGGAAAAACAACTTTTCTCAACCCTGTGGCTGCAGTCTTCCTAATAAAGTCCAGAAGTAGATGGCCTTCATTCCTGAAAGGGCACATGAAATGTCCCATGCTCAACTTGTTATCCACCAGGACCCCCACGTCTTTTCCTGCAAAGTTGCTTACTAGACAGTCACTGCCTAGCCTGTACTGTTGCATGGTATTATTCCATCCCAGATACAGAATTTACCCATTTTCAAGCCCATTTTTCCAGCTTGTCAAAGTTTGTCTTAATAGCAACCTTTCCCTCCAGCAAATCAGGAACCCCTCCCCACAAGATATAGTCTGCTAATATATGAGGATGTCCTCTCTCCTATTATCCAGGTCATTAATAAAGCCATTAAGCAGTATTGGCCCAAGTGTCAGTCCCTGAGGGATGACACGGGTAAACAGTCACCAGCTGGACTTTGTGTCACCAATAACCATCCTTTGTCCCCAATGGTCCAGCGAATTTTCTGCTCACCTTATCATCTACTTGTCCGCTCCACACTAATGTGGCTACAAGGGTACTATGGGAGACTGTGTCAAAGGCCTTGCTAAAGTCAAGTTATGCAGCATCCACTGTTCTCCCCTTATTCACACACCTCAGCTTTCTTAATTCTCCCACGTGCCAAAGTTCTCCATCTGTAAAATAGGTTCTCTACCTCTCCATCTCATTTGGCTGGATTATGCCCATTTCAGGGCAGGGACCGTCTTCCATTTTGTGTATGCAGTTCTGTAAGTGACACTTGTAATGATGAATGCCAAGCTGTGGCTGGGAGTTCGGGTGGTAGTGTGATGGAAGTGTCACACGGTACTCCCTGGCACAGGCTGGGTGTATAATATGGACCCCTGGGAGCCCTGTGTGCCCACATAAAATAAGAATTTGAGGTGCAACACTGTTCAGAAGCAAATTTTGCATTTGCCTCTCAGTTCTTCCTTGCCCACCTATTTGCTGTCCTTCCTATACCTTTGTCCTACTTCATAGGGATCCCCACACCTTCACAGGCACTTCCAGTTCATAGTCCTTCTGCATCTGTCTTCCCAAGAGAAATCTTTACAGGGATGGGGACAACCCTTTCCACTCTGTTTTCTCCTCAGTGATTCAGGGGCTGCTGAGCTAGCTGTCACAGTACCTGACAGTATCACAGACTGGAGAGCCATGACCTTCTGCACCTCAGAGAGCCATGGGTTGGGAATCTCAGAGACCACCAGCCTGCGGAGCTTCAAGCCCTTCTTTGTGGAACCCACTTTGCCCTACTCTGTCTTCCGGGGAGAGTCATTTCCCCTGAAAGTCAAAGTCTTCAGCTACCTGAAGCAGTGCATGGTGGTGAGTGGCTCCCTCCGGGATGGTTTTTGGGCAGGAGGATGTGTGGTAACAGTACTTCACTGATAGAGACCCAGACAAGGGGCTGCCTCCTCAGGCATTGGGCAAAAGACACCAAGGAAGCTCTTCACAAAGCTCCATGCAGAGCCATCTCTGTCCAGCTTATCCCTCCCCGTAAGCTCAACCCTACAGGAATGCGATGTCTGTGGGCTGTTGGTGTCCCACAGATATTGCAATAGGGCCATCATCATACTCACCCTGGGCTTCTGGGCTTGACTGATATTTGGATCAAGGAGCTGAAAGGAAAAACACAGCAGCAGCTCTGTAACCTGAACTCCCTTTTGTTTCACCTCTAGCTCCAGCTTAGTCTAATGGACTCCGGGGATTTTGAATTTGTGCATGCAAATGTCAGGTTCACTATTTGTCTGTGTCCTGATTCAGCAAAAACATTTTTCTGGGATGTGAAGGCTACAAAATTAGGTAAGGGGACAAGGGAGGGGCAGGAGAGGGAGGCACTGGCAGAGCCGCTTGAGCAAACCAGAGCTGGGCTGGAAGGGAGAGTGGCCTATTATGCGAAGCAGGAGCAAACTAAAACGTAGGCATGGATGTGCCAGCTGGCCTCTTGATGTTTTGTTCTTTAGGGAAGGTGAATTTCACTGTCACTGCTGAGGTGATGGAGCAGGAAGATGTTTGCACTGAGAGTACAGCTGTTGTCCCAGAGTCTGGAGGGAAGGACACAGTGGTTAAACACCTGCTGGTGAAGGTCAGAGTATGCTTCAGGCTCCTGGTGAGGGCGGAACTGGGTCAGGCTCAAAACAGCCCGGTGGGTGGCTCTGGGAAGGGAGAGTTGGCCGGGCAGGTAGGCACATTTCTCAGGGAGGCTGGTCAAAGAATGATTCTAAGGGTAGGTTGGGTCGGGGTATGAGCTGAGCACCTCCACTCGATGGGACAGAGACATCAGAATTGCTTGCTAGCAGGGCAACGGGGGCAAAGGCCATGTAGCAGCTTAGAAACCTGCTTCCCAGTGAAATTTCACTGTCTGCATGCATATCTCTGCTGTCTGGTTGAGGTCCTTTGCATGGCCCATGAGGGTGGAAAAGGAGCTTGCAGGGAGGTGGGGTGCTGCACAGCTGCTATCTCATTTTAGTGCTCTCCCTACTGAGCTGACCAGCCTTTTCTCCACCAGGCAGAGGGGCTGCTGGAGGAAAAGACCCACACCTCGCTTCTGTGCCCTAAAGGTAGGTGCAGGTACCCCAGAGACAGGGACTGTCTTACCGCTGGGGCTGTACATGCACACAGAACAAGGAGACCAAAGAGAAGCAGTGTGGTGTGTGAACAACTCTAGGACTACCTGGAGGTGCATGGGGAGGGGAAAGTCAGGGATTTTGGAGCTTTTATGGGGAGATAACACCATTCCACTCTACCCAGTACTACAAGCTACTGGCAGCACCAAGCCACTGCCTAACCACATCACAGTCACTCATCAGTGGGTGGCCTGATCGCTGTGTCATCCTCTCTTTTGAATGCTGATTTCACCAACTGATGAGGTGATCCCAGCCTTGTTTACACCATCTCCGGGGGATGCCTGTGGGTCTGCCATCTCCCTCCTGCTTGTTGTTGTTCTGATGCTTTTGCCATTTGCAGGAACTTCAGCTTCAGAGACAATCACTTTCACTATGCCAGAGAACATAGTCCTTGGGTCGGAGAGAGCCCACATCTCTTTCTTAGGTGAGATTTAGTGGGGTCTTGGAAAGTAAGATTTTTCCCTGCAGGAGTCTTTTCTTCTGGTGCCACCATGTCTAGCAAACAGAGTAACAAGAGAGAATGTGTGCAGTGAGGTGTGATACTGGGCCATTATGTCTTCCAGAGAAGCATCCCATCTCTCTTATACAAGTGATGCTGGACTGGATGGATGTATATTTCACCCAGCCAAGGGAAAGATAGACAAGTACCATGTCACTGTTCCTACAGGGCTTTATAGACATTAAAGTCTCCCTGGTGTGAGCAGAGGTGAACTGAGACCAGTCTTAGCAGGTTATCTGGAGAATTGGTGAGACCAGAAATTTTTTACGTGCAGGAATATGTAAAGCTCCCAAAGCTGTGGTTCTGTCCTACAGGCGACATTTTGGGGACAGCACTGGACAACATAGATGAGCTCCTTCAGATGTCCAGTGGCTGTGGTGAGCAGAACATGGTTCATTTTGCCCCCAATGTCTTTATCACACGATACCTTGAAGAAACAGGACAACTGACTCCAGAAATCAAACAGAAGGCAATCGGCTATCTGGAAAGCGGTGAGTGGATTTCTGCTTATGTTGGGTTACTAAGCTTGTGATGTCCGCTACAGTAGGTTGTGCAGTGGGGATCTCAGCAGAGGCTTGGTGCTGAACAGGATTTGTGCAGCGCCACTTGCCTGACAACATGGGAATTACAGCAGTGTAAATCAGGCTGCTGTGTCTCAGCTGAACAAGGGGTACACGGCACCCCTCTGAAAGCCCTTTGCTGAATTCCTCAGAGACAATGCTCTCTATAATGATCAGCAGGATTGGGGGGGCAGGTTGTTACCGTGAGGCACATGACAGACACAGAGCGTCTTCACTACCCCCAGCCTCTTCCCACAGGGTATCAGCGGCAACTCCTATACAAGCACACAGATGGCTCATACAGTGCCTTTGGGGAAGGAAGTGAGCCAGGGAACACATGGTAAGCAGAGATATCCAGACACAGTTGAGGAACAGCAGCTTGACCTGGTCAGGCTCAGGCTGGCTTGGATTTTGGTCTGGGGAAACTGAGGGCATCTGGAGGTGTGGAGTTTTGAACAGACACTGCTCCTGAGACTTTTTGGAAGAGAACCGTGCCAATGAACTGACTTGAGGTACCCCTGTTTGATCGTTTGTGCTTGGGCACCCCAGCTGAAGCTGATTCTGAAAACTTGGCTGCAAAGACACCTTCTTTCCAGGTTTTCCAGAGTGCTTTGTGCCCAAACAGGACTGGGAAAGGGGCTGAGTGAGCTCACTAAATATCAGCCTTCCTGGCTTTAAATCACACAAGCGCACCCTGTTGGAATTGGCAGAGCTCTGGGGGAAGCACTGAATTGTCGGTGAATTTTTTCTCTCTTGCTGCAAATGGATCTGAGCTTGAGCTTCAAGAGCATCTAACGTATGTGCATTGCTTCCAATTCTCCATCTGCACAGAGGCTCTGGCCTGCTGGTATTTCTTCAGGGATGAGACAGTGGAAGACACAGAGACTCCTGTCCTCTAATGGAGGTGGGCATCAGTGACTGATTCAATTCAATTTTCTTCTCTCTTCCTTGGCTCTAGGCTTACTGCCCTTGTCCTCAAGACCTTCAGCCAAGCCCGGGACTTCATCCACATAGATGAGCAGAATATAAAGGACGCTGCCAGTGCCCTGATTAAAAGTCAGACTCCATCTGGCTGCTTCAGGAGTGTGGGGAAGCTCTTCAACAATGGTCTAATGGTATGACATGTCCTGGCTGTTCATTAGGTAACTCAGAGCCCCTTCACTTTCTGGCCCAGCTTGAGTGCCAAGAACAAATGAATGCTACCGCAGGAGGGAGGCTCTGATGTGCCGAAGGTCACCCTTGGGTGACACTCAAGGTTGTGCTTAGTCATGGTGGCACTTTTTCAAGTTATGAAAGATGGAGGTTTGCATTTGATGATATGTGTATGGGAACTGAACCAGTGCCCTGCCCTAGCCCCATCTCAAAAGCTACCGAATGCCTTAAAAAAAAAAAAGGGGCGGGGGGGCGTTCAAGCTCTGCGTTATTCCCTTGGTAAACTGCTTTAGCTTCCTTTTCCATTATTGAGTTGCCGTTTCTTCCTTCAGTCTGAGTTCCCCCCTGTACAGAGAGAGTCAGAAATGGGGTGAATGGAGACTGATGGCAGCCACTCAAGTGAGGTTCACCTTGCCAGGCATGTGCCCTATACACTCAGAAACACAGCACTTGTGCATGCACAGCCACACACAGAGTACCACCAAAGCGGAACCAGCAGCAGTTCAGTGGACAGAACCTCAGATAATTAATTAATCCTCTAAGTGAAGAGAATGGTACCTTTCACTTCCCCTTGCAAAAGGTACCTTTTCTTTTGCTCGTCCCTTGTCACTGTCCTGGCCCTCAAGTTGAGGTGCCACCTTGCAGCGGGGTTGTGGGAACATCACTTTCCCCTGGCACTGAAATCTGCTACTGAAAATCTTTTGCAGGGGAGGGGAAAGGGGAATGTGTTCAGCAGAGGGAGGGAATCAGCTACCCGGAGGAGCTTGGGGCACTCTGGCTGAGAAGTGCTCTGGTAAGCAGGACCTGCAAGAGTAGGTACCAGCCCTGGCACTTCCTTAGCAGAAGGAATAGGACCAGCACCATTGCCTGCGCTGGCTTTTAGTTGGGGAGCAGAAGGTACCGGAAAACTTCTCCCTCTCCCTTCTCACGGCAGCCCTCCCCTTCTCTGTTTTGTGGTGGCTGCAGGGTGCAGTGGAGGAAGGACTGGGGCTGAGCTCTGCGATCGTCACAGCTCTCATACACTCCGGGATGCCACGCTCCGTGAGTATCGGCAGCAGGGACGGGCTGCGTGCGCGGCCTCTCGGCAGGCAGTGCGCTGGCGCTCGGCCTTTCTGCACACAGGGGGACGTTACCGGTTTCCCCCCCACGTGTCCCGCCTCTGTTTCCACCCTCCTCTGCACACGCCAGGGCCGCGTTCCCTCCCATACCCCCTGCCAGCAACCGGTGTGCTTTCAATTGTATCCTAGGACCCAGTTGTGTGGAAAGCTCTGAAATGTATAAGGGACCTGGTCAATGCTGATACCGGCGGTTCCAACCTCTACGGCCTGGCACTAGCCGCAAATGCCTTTGCAGTAGCAGGTGATAAGGCCCTCAGGCAGAAAATCCTCAAAAGATTGGATAAGGCCGCCATAATATCAGGTACCAAAGACTTGTGGGGCGGGAGAGGGGGCCATTCGCAGAATTGTGTGGAGATCCCAGGGCTGACCGACCAAGGGAATGGAGGGCAGGAGTGGGGGGCACTGGCAGAGCTCTGTGGGGAGCCCAAGGCTTGGATAGCCTCTCTTTGCCAAGCTGTCACAGGCTGTATCCATACTGTGAGACAGACTTTCTCTGTGGATGTTCTCACAGTCCTGGTCTCCCGGTCTTCCAAACCAGAGGAGCTTCACGGATATTGTAGAGCTCCTTTCCAGCCTGCAGGCCTAGGTTTTTACTGGGAAAAGCAGGATATAGGGGACAAATGGGGAGATATGTACCCATATCTTGTCCCAATGTACATGTTCACTCAGTACCTAGGTGCAGCGGCTGAGTAGGACTCCAAGGTCATTAGATACAGCAACACACTCCATAAGTGTTCCCACTCCACCTCTAGATGACCAAATATTTTGGAGTCAACAGTCCAAACAGGAAGAAGACTCCCTATATTGGTATCGGGCTCCATCTGTTGATGTGGAATTGACATCTAGTATCCTCATGGCTCACCTTTCAAAGTCAAGTTTGTCTTCAGATGAAATCAGAAAGGCATCCCAGATTGTGTCTTGGCTCACCAAGCAGCAAAACCCTTATGGAGGCTTTGCTTCAACCCAGGTAATCCCCTTGAGCCATCATCAGCAGAGAACCTGCCGTCAGCTATGGTTTGTGAGAACAATGGGTTCTAGCACAGCCCATAGTAAAAAAAAGAAAAAAAAAATGTATGGATTTACTGCTCCTGGGAGTTGGGAAAAGATAAATATTTTTATTCCTCTGAGCTAATCCCATGCTAAAAGTTCAAGGGGAAAGCTCAATCCTTATTGTGCTGTAGCTGCAGTATGAGAGAGGGAAAGGCTAAGGACTGGGCATGCACAGGAAGCACAGATCCTATTTTGCCCAATGTGTGTCTCTTTCCTCAGGACACGGTGGTTGCTCTGGAAGCCTTAGCCCTGTATGCAACCAAGACCTTCAGCAAGGATGGCCCTGATCTTCAGGCTTCTCTCTCTTCTGAGGGTTTCAACCAAAACATCCGAGTAGACAATACCAATCGCCTCCTGCTGCAGACAGTGGAGCTGCCAGCCATTCCCCGAGATTATACTGTGCATGTGCAGGGCCATGGGTGCCTCTTCCTGCAGGTGAGCCCAGCCATGGAGAAAAGGGTCTGTCTGGGGAAAAGCCTTGAAAGCGAGAGGACTTGCTACTTAGCCAACACTGAAAACAGACTGCTGCAGTGACTTGCAAGCTTCAAGGCTGGTGGGAGTAGCTGGGATCTAACAGGAAGGGAATAGCAATTCCCCAAATGAAATCTGGATCATCTCCACCCAGTCAGAGCTGCACCACTCCTCCAAGAAGTCCAGTGAACACCACCAGGAGCACTGCAGTAGCAGAACCTCTGCTTCCGCCACGTAGTTTTCTCTTACACCAGTGCAAGACAGTAAACAGCAGCCAAACACTAGACGAGGATACTCTCCAGCAAAAAAAACCCTGCTATTCTCTGCCAACTAGCTTCTTTCTGTCCTGGCAGGCCATTCTGCGGTACCACATCCCTCCACTGAGGAGCGACGTCGCCTTTGCCGTATCTGTGCAGACAGAGTGCACCGCACCCAATGCCACCCAGTTCCCTGTCACCATTCATGCTCGGTAGGAGACACTCCGTTGCCCCTTGCCTCCCCTGTGCTAAGAGGCTTCTGGCACCACACCAGCCTCTTGATGGCCAGGATTCCCCTTCACTATGAGGGCCAAGTGCTAAGATGTCCCCCTTCATTTAACTATGCTCTCCTCAGCTGGGTGAAAGATACAAGGCCCCAGAAGGATGGCTCAGGCTATAAACCTATCTCATTATCATGCCAGTCACCACAAGGTCTCCCAAGGTCTATGGGTCTCACCCCTTTCTAGGATTAGGTCTCCAAACACTAGTGATGTGAAGGTCCTGTGGGACTGACTGCTGACACTTATTCCTAAGTCTTCCCTCCTCTGCTCCTGGTTGACTGTCACACCACTCTCCTCTGCTGTACCCCTGCCTGACTTGGGACAGAACTGCCAAGAGAGCAGAGGATGTCATATTCCCTGCCACGCCTAGAGAAGGTAACTACAGAAGTCTTCCAAGGAATTTATTCTCCTTGGCTCAGAACAATTAAAAGAGAGATCAGGGGAAGCACAAAGATTTATTACAGTACAGGAAGAGGTATGCTTACAGGAGATACACTGGAAGGAAAGGCAGATTCCTCCACCTCAGTACCAAAGCTGGGCTGGATTATCTGGAGATCATGGCTCAGAAAGTAACATTAGTGCTGTCCCCTGGGTTCCTGCTGCAGCTACACAGGGAACCGTGTGTCCACCAACATGGTCCTGATTCAAGTGGAGCTGCTGTCTGGATACAGCCCCGTGGCAGGTTCACTGGAAGAGGTGAGACCGCGAGTTTGTGTCCAGCTGGGATGGGAACAATGATGGATATCCATCATGCAGGATTGTATGCAGAACTATGATCATTCCTGTGGGCAGAGAAAAATGGTTCTTTTCTTCCCAAGAAATATTTATTCCCAAAGTCTCTTCCAGGCCACACCTTGCCTTCCCCTATCCCCAGGGCTTCCTTGGCCATGTGAACGTTTTGCCCATGCTCTCACAAGGACAAATATCCCTGAATATTTCTGCTTTCTGTTAGAGACTTTCTGACATTTTTTCCCCTATTTTCAGCTAAAGAAAATGCCTTTAGTGAAGAAAGTTGAAAGTGAAGCTGACCGAGTCATTCTCTACCTGGAGGAAGTGAGTGGAATTTAGGCTAACACCATCGTTAAAAGGACTATGGACTGGCAGATAGCTTTTAGCTTACTCTTGTATCTTGGTTCCATTAGTATTTTAAGTATCCAGAGCTGTTGTTCTGCATACCAGCCACATTTGCTGACCTGCAGAACTGTGTTGTGTCAGCCTGCAGTAGTTCAGCTGTAGAGACTGTATACAGGGCCACTTAACTTGAGTGAAATGAGGCTAACTCTGATCTACAGTTGAGTCTACATCTGTTGGCACTGTTCCAAGACTGTTGAAAGTCCATATACAGTGTCTGATCAGGATTGGGGAGTAGTAGTAGGATCCATCTAGTAAATTCAAGCAAGCCTGAATTCTTAGAAAGCCCTTAAGCAGCCTGAATGTAGTAGGGAGCATCCAAGATTGCTCATGGAGTTTGCCAAGATCACTCAAAATTAAACCAGATGGTTGTCTGAGCAGCAGTGCTTGCTCCACAGTGTCATTAATCAACACATTAACAACCACTCCACCCTTTCTCTAGCTACGTGCATACCTAAACAGCACCAGAAACAAGCATGAATTTAAAAATTTCAGAATTTTCAAGGAGCACTTCTTCGTTTCTGTGATTCTTCATCCCCAGTTGTCAATAAGCTGAGCTAAGCTAGCCTCATAGTAAGTGGGTTATTGCCATGTGGATGCATTAGACTTGCAGAGATGCTGCTTTCGTTACGTCTACAGCACAGAGCGGAAAGGCAGCACAGAGAAAGATTTCAGCTCAGGCTGCCAGGTAGCACAAGGTGAAACACAATCAACAGCAGGTCATGTAACTACTACCATCCAGCAGATGTTCATCCACACCTTGCATTTGTCTGCTTAATGATGAGGGTTGTGTGAGACTGGAGAATAAGAGCTGATGTGATGGGACTGTGTATAAGAAAGTAGCCACTGAGGCAAGATGCATGAAGGAGCTCAGAACAGAGCTGGATGGGAATGTGGGATTGGTTGGGAACACCAGTGCTACGTTTAGATACCTAATGCACGTTGATTCTGTGGGTTTGATGTCTCTCATGAGCTGAGTTAAATTTGGTGACCAAAAAAGGGAGATGGCCACAGAATGTGAAGTAAAAGATATTTCTGAGATGGAGTGGAAAGCAGAACAGATCTGTCACACTGGTGAGGTCTCCATGGAGCCTGAGTGAGAACAGGTGGAAGGGATTGTCTTACAGGACTTTGGTTCTGGCTGTAATCCTTGCATCTCTTGGTCTTAGCTGACTAGACAGCCTCACACCTACACTTTGCTGGTGCAGCAGGACATGCAAGTGAAGGATCGTAAGCCAGCTAATATCAAGGTCTACGATTACTACATGCCAGGTGAGCTCAGATGCTGTACTGCAGAAACCACACAAATGTACTACTGGAAAGAGATTTTCTGAAGTTGTCAAGTCTAAGGTAGTACCATCCCTGACATGTTTATCTACCTGCCCCTTAGAAGCTCTCTAGTGATGGACTTACCCTCTTGGGTTTCAAAATGGTAGATCCTTCTTTCTCTGGTCCCAGAACTTGCAAGCTTGAAGCTGGCATGTAGATCCACTTAGGGTCTAACTCTCTCAAGAGGGGCGCAAAGAGCTCAGAGCTGTGCTTTTGTACACTCATTTTGTGGGAGGCAGCAAAGGCAGAGGGACCATAGTGAGGGAATGGCTTAGAAGAATGAGGGCCCCCTTAGAAGAATGACACTGAAAACAGCTTGTCCTCTGTTCTCTGGGGTCCCTAGTGGGAGGAAAAGCTAGAAATGTGTCAGGGATTGCTACTGCTTCAGAAAGTAAGGAATCCATAACTGTAATGGAGCTGTTTGGGACTTACAGCTTCAAAAGATCATAAGCCCTATGACTTGGGTGAATCTGGACTAGCTGCACACAGAGTCTTTGACACAAACCAGTGGTTCCATGTGTCACAGCGGCGGGGAGTCATGGCCTGTAAGCTGAGGGAACGCCTCTCCGAGACACAGAGGCACAATGCTGGGTTGCTTTAGTGAGCTTTTGGCAAGTGTATCTCACCAGTACTTTTTTTCTTGTCTTCCAGAAGAAACTACAGTGATGAGCTACAGTGCCCCATGCGAGTGAGGTGAGGGCCCAACACCTCTTTTGTCATCACAGGCATGGTCCTGAAGGGTATGGAGAGAGAGGGACGTGCAGGCAAGGGCTCTTGGTCAAGAAACTTGCTAGACTGCAGGTTCGGGGTAGGAAGTGATTAGCAATGCTAAGTAAGGGTGAGCTCCTGTATCCCAGTGGAAAGGGAGAACTGAAGTGGAAGGTTTGAGGCACCCAGCTCATGACAGAGTTGGAGGTATGTTACAGAAAACAAGGGCTGCCTGTCCCAAGTCCTACCACCAGTCCTGGCATTTTGCACCAAATACACTTTCCTCGAGCCAACACAGTTCCTTTTCCTGGCACTTTCCTTGCAGTTCCACAGCCCTCCAGTCCTGTGCATGCAACACGTCACGTTCACCTTTCGTGCAGGGCCTGACTCCTTTTCAGTGCCAAGCCTTTCACAGTCTCAGTCTGGCTTCTGGTCCACGCTAGGGAACGGGCACCTGCCCATCCTCTTTCAAGCTGGGCAAAGGCAAAGCTTGAACTTAACCAGTCCCTGCTCCTGTTCTAAACTTTGCTTGCATCTGCATGCTTCCTTGCCCACAGCCCACGAGATGGAGAAAAACACCTGCTTCATGAATCACCTGTGGGAGGCACACAGCCCTGTCCTGGGATGCCTGGCACAAGCCCTACACTCTTAGTGGAGATTCTGCCATAGGCTTTGTTTGAGTAGAGTCAGAGAGTGCCCTATCCTTGATGGCTTGGCAGTCCCATTTGGTCACGAGGTGCAAAAAAGCCCCTGAATTCCCAGTGGTTAGTTTTAATACTTCAGAAACACAGATTTTTTTTTTTGTCCCTTGTTGTCTTCACAGGAACACAGACAGACCCATCCTCTGCAGTCTCTGTCCGACAGTCCTTTGTCACCCTGGCCAACAGCCACCAGATGATGACGAGTTGCAAAGAGAGAATACTTGAAATTTCCTGCTAAGCAGTTACTTTCTGAAAGGCTCAGACTGTGCCTGGCATCTTAATAAAAGTCAGGAGACTAGAACTGTCTGATTGAGTGATTATTCAGGTTTACTGTTTTTCTCCCAAACCAGGAAAATTGCATTTAAGAGAATCTGGGAAAAATAACTCCTTCACCTCTGCTCTGTGTGTGCATGTACATGTACACATGCAAAACTCTGCCCCTCCAGTAGCGGACTTGCACAGGAGGAGATAGAGCATGCACCAAGGCAGAGTTGGTACCTGGGGGAGGTGACCATCACACAAGCTGGAGCTGAAGGCAAGGGAGGGCTGGGATACGTTCAACAGTTCCTTTGGCCGACGGTTGCATTTAGAGACCTTTATCAAGAGCAATTGGCAAGGCTGTACTGCTGATGGGGGGTGAGGGGTCTAGAGGGTCAATGCACTGCATTACTATCATCTGGAGACTGCTTCAAAGAAGAGCTGGTGGCACAGGAGCTTGCAGGAAGGGCACAGGAGATACGGCTGTCACAGCATGTTCATCTTGTTGCATCTTGTACTCCAAATCTGCCTGAGTCCTACTGTGGGAAGTATTAGGAGAAACCATGGGAAGCATGAGGAGAGAGCAATACAGGAGCTAGAAGGTTTGTACATTTCTGCCATTGGCAATGGCAGAAATGGTATCTTCATGGGCTAAGCCTGTAGTTCACCAACTGGTACAATGGCCGCAAGGTCAGGGGTCATGCTTACTTTAATTTTTCTTCCCAGGTGTTTACCAAATATGTGACACACACCCCCACCCCAACCCAGGCCCTCACAGTGCAGGCACAACTGCTGGACTGTTGTGATCCCTCAGTCCATCCACTCAGGCGCAGGACCACATGGGCTCAACTTTATTGTGGGCTGTGTCCCAGCTGGGGCACTTCCTTCCATTCAGTGCCCAACCTGAAATATTGGGCAAAGGCAGGAGTCACGGTGTGGCAGTTCCTCTCCTTTCCTTTATCACAAATTTGGGAGCTCCTCCACCCCTTTCTGAGGTACCATGTGCAATTGTGGGGACAGAAGGCAAGACAAACAAGGAGGGTATGATCCAGTCCCTCCATGGCTATCATCAGGCTGTGGAAGGTGCCTTGTCTTGGCTAGTAGTGGGGGCGGCTCTCCAGGCAGGTCCCTAGGCAGCACTCTCTCTGTGGGATGGTGTCAGGATGCAGCATGTACCATGTCAAGATTCTGTCTTATCCTTCCAGAAGGGACTTCTCCAGACCTGTCCTGGCTTTAGGCAACTACTAACAAGCCATCCCCCTTCTGACAGCTGGGTATGCCACGCCACAAGACAAAAGATTATGTCTTCCCAGCTTCAGCTTGCTCCTTTGGCTCCCTGAATCCCCCTTTCCCACCCTGCAATGAATATAGCGGGGGGTGGAGGGAATGGAGCCGTGCCTGGGTTTGAGGGCCTTTGTTAGCACAGGCTGCTACAGCTCTGCATTCTCACTCCACATGATGCTCAGCCCTTCCTTCCTCACTCTCATTTTGAGAGACGTTGTCCCTGTCTCCGCCTTCCACCAGAGCCTTCCAGCGGCGTCCCTGGCTGCAAAAGAGCCCCCATCCTAGCTCCACACACCTAGCCACAGGCAACTGCCAGTTCCTCTTTCTAGCTGGATATATGCTCCCCACTGGTTACCATCCTCTTTCCCATCTTTGCTTGCATTCCCTCTCTCCCACCCAAGACCCATCATTTCCAGATGGCACACAGGGACTTGCTGCCTACCTCAACTACAGACAGCACTGTAGTCAGCCAAGGCTCGCTCCTCTGCAAAAGGAAGTGAGGAAGTCGATTACACACACGTGCATGCACACAGAGAAGAGTGCACGTCTTTTCCCAGCCAGAGAACTAGGAACCCAGCTCCCAACCCCGGAGTAGGAGGGAATCTGCAACCCACCTGGCTGGTAGTAATCGTAGACTTTGATGCTGGCCGGTTTCAGGTTCTTCATCTGAATTACTTGTTCCAGTTGCAGAATGAAAGTCTGAGATTCATCATTGAGCTTGTGGAGGTGGAAAGAAATTAGCAAGGAAGGGGAGAAAGAAGTCATTGCATCTTCATCTTCCCTAGCTTGAATGTTTTCCTGCACTAAATCTCTCCAATCCACTAGAGATTCTGGACTTTCAGAAATGGAGCATGCGTGAGGAATAGCAAATGCTAAACCAATGACAATGAAATTGGGCAAGCTTCCTCTGCCCACAGTTCTACCAGTGCTCTTTCCTCATGCCTAGCCCAGCCTTGGGCTTCTCACACAGCTCCTTGTCCTCTGGCCTTTTGCTCTTGCTGTGCCAAACCAAATGCCTTTGTTCCTACTTACCTTCTCCAGATAAATGTAGACCACATCAGCTTTCACTTCTATTTTCTTAACAATGGTTCTGCGCTCCAGCTGGGATAGGAAACAATAACACAAGGAAATTTGTGAGCACTTTCCTTAGGGCTTCCTGACCTGAGGGACCCACTGATGTATTGAAGGGATGGTGTGGAGCTGGACGCTGCGTGGAACTGTATCTTTCTCACACATAAGGGTTTTAGTGGTTTTATCTTTGGTAGTCCCTCCTGGACATCCCTTGTGAGCATCTCAGGGATGAACTATGCTGTCCCTGTCAGTCAGAGGATTCTCCCACTCTGGGGACAAAAGACCGTGTGGATAGTACATAGGACAGATGCATTGGTCAGCAAACAGGTGTAGGCACCAGTAAAGATTCTTGTTATCTCATCTCACTGACTGCTAGACTGCTCTTAATGCCCTGCCTGGGGGCTGTGCAAATAACTAATCTTTCAGTTTTATGGCTTAATTGGAAAAAAGTAATCTTTTTTGCTAGAACTAGAGTCTCTCTAAGAAATCTTGTCTTAGAATTTCTGGCAAACAAATCCTGGTGTTTAGCACACCCAGCAGCACATTTTGTTCCTGGCCCAAGGCAGAATAGCATCAGTGGGAGAAGTTGAACCACTTCTGATCTCCTGTAGCCAACCCTTGTGGACCCTGTATGGAAATGAGAGGTTTTGGTTCAATTACAACAACAGCAAAGGGCCCCTGCTAGTTTAGTTACCTCGTGACCTGAAATGAACAGCTCCCAACAGGAGCAAGCAGGTGGGATCATAGCCACTTTTTTTTTAATTCCAAAGTCCTTACCAACAACTTGGATCCGGGAGCCAGGACAAATCCAGACAACAGGGAGACCTCCACGATCACCATGTTGGACGTAACTCTGCTCCCAATGTAGCTGAAGAAGAAGAAACAGCCAGAGGGTCCGACTGTGAGAATAGTGCCCTCCCAGGCCCCCTTCCCTCCGCCACCATACCCTGTGTGCAGGACCCTGAGCCAGGTAGCCCATCCGGGACTGGGGACATGGCAGTCACAGCTCCCTCTCACAGGAGGTAGCCAGAATCTTCCTTCCCCACCCCTTCCACCTACCAAATTCACCCTCTGCCCCGTCCGCCCCAAGCACTGGGTCCCTCCATTGCAGCCCTGAGGCTTTCCCGGCTGCTGTCCCCAAGCACAGCAGGTCTTGCTGGAGGAGGAAACAACCCTTGGGGTCACCTGGCAAGGATGCGGACGGTGAGGACACGCGCATTGGCCTGGCTACAGTTGGTCAGCTCTGTGTTGACACGCAGAGTGAAGGTTACAGCAGCCCGCGGGGAAGGCTCGTGGTATCTCAGCACTGTCTGCAGGGCGAGGGCCAGGAGGGGAAAAGACAGGCCGGACGTGATCTCATGCAGGGAGAAGAGGCAGAGTCCTCCACCTCTCCTCTCTCCCGTGCTCGTCCCACCACCTCACCTGAGTGAAGACACAGCTGCTGCCATGGATCTGCACCAGGAACTGCCCCGGGACCTCTGTCAGTGCTGCCTGCTGCACCAGCAGCCGCTTCTGGCGGTTGACTTGGAAAGACTTCCCGAAGCCCCTCTGGGACTTCACCCTCACAAGTGCCTGGCCTGATGTGCTGAACGTCCTTGCTGCGTATTTTGCTAAGGCTTGCAAGGCAACAACTGTGTCCTAGAGAGGGAGAGACAGCTTTCACCCCTCTGAAAGCATCAGCTCTAGTGAAGCTGACTTGGAGCAGGAAGACCTCAAGAGGACTCGCCCTGCCAACCTCCGCTGTAAAAGTATATCAATCCACAGAGAGCTACTTGTTACCTGGGTGGAGGCAAAGCCCCCGTAGGCGTTCTGCTGCCGGGTCAGCCATGCCACAATACCAGCTGCAGTTGTCATGTCACCTGCATGCACGCGTGGCTTAGAGAGGTACGCCAGGAGCACGTAGGCTGTCAACTCTATGTCCACTGACTGAGTACCAGGCCAGAAGTCTGTGGAAGCCGGAGAGCTTGGCTTGGGGCTCCAGTGGATTTGTCCTCCTGCAGAAGGAAAAGGAGCATGCAGGCTCTCTGGAGAGGACATAATTGGGGGTTCACAGGAAACAAAACCCAGAGTGCTTTCGGGGCTCCTTCAGCTCATTCCCTGAGCTCAGGCCATGATTGCTTTCTTCAGTTTATTCTCCAGGGCTTCATCTGGTCTTAGCTCACAGATTCCTACCTCCTCCCTCAAGAGGATCTTGAAATCCTCCAGGCTGAGGAAACTCTTTCTGATAAGTCACCCTCACAGCTTGTGAAATAACTTATTGTATTTTCAGTCACACAGTGCAGTTACTGCACAAATACAAGGAATATGTACAAATACATATGTCATTTTTAACCGCTCTGGCTGGGCATACATTACTCTAGATCCCAGCAGGTGAATGAGAAGCATTACCCCAACCAGCAGTCAGCACCTGATTTGATGGCTTGTTCCTCCAATTTGTACAGCAGCTCCTGGGTTGTCTCATAGTCCCCAGCCAGGGCAAAGGCATAGGCCAGCACGGCTTCTGTGTAGACGTTGGTGATGTTGTGAACAGCCTGCTGTAGGCAGCGGAGGGTAGTCTGCATCAGCTTGCCCTGTGTTGGGAGAAGAGACAGACGCCAAACTCTTACAGGGGCAAAACAGGGGGCA